AGAAAGCTCCTTTCTTGTTCTTCTTCTGCTAAGGGCAGCTACAGGTTTGGCTAACATACCTATAATACATTTTAAGATCATTTAAAATGCACTTAGAGTAATGTTTTGCTTCCAATGATGATATGAATCATAAGAAAAGGAGGTGAAGGGTAAGGTTGAATTTAGAAATTGGATTTAACCGGGAGTCGGCTGCAGCAAAACTCGGAGTTTACGGAGGAGACACCCGTTTTTTTTACTTTTTAAAACTCATTGAACTTATTTCCAAATGGAGGATTACATGTCTGTGCTCAAACTATTATCTGGACTTAAACATGAAACTGGTCCTAACTGAAGTGGTCTGTGCTGTTCATTAATACCTAAGGTAAGGCCCATAACACACTTTGTACTTTTTACAAACGTTTGCGTTTTGTATGAGAAAACAATGCAGACATTAAATCATATTCTGCTGTAGCCAAACAAATTGTGTATAAGCCGCTCCTGTTCCTGTTGGTTTATATGATGTATAATCATATGAACACATGATTGATCCCCCACCGTCACTGGTGTAGCCAGGTCTCTAATCTGCGCAAGGCTGAGAAAGAGCGCTCAGAGGCTGCGACAGATATTAGCCAGACAGAGCTTCATAAGCTTCTCCGACAGCATGGAGCGGGTTTTGGGCTGCAAGGAACGCAGGATAGTGATAACTTCTCGCTCCCGGCACACGCGGAGGGGGTGCGGCCGCACCCCCCGCACCCCTAGTTCCGACGTCTATGGTATACAGTCATAGATATACTGAAGGTAAACAGAGAAACAGCATAGAGTATTTACATGAACAAATTTACAAAATATTTACAGATTGTTTATCATCATCATAATGACACCATGATGTTTCTATACAGTCTATGGTCTATACCCACACATACACACACACACCCACACACACACATGTTAGTGTGTAATATAACACTACACATTGTTTTCAATAAAAAAAGCAATTGCACACAGCACGCAAATGTGTGACTAATTTGCGATTAATCGCGAGTTAACTATGAAATTCATGCGATTAATCGCCATTAAATATTTTAATCGTTGGACAGCACTAATATATATATATATATATATATATATATATATATATATATATATATATATATATATATATATATATATATATATATATATACGTACATACAGTATATATACAGTATATATATATATATGCTAGAGCCCGGTCATTACCGCCTCCTCTTCACCTGTGTACAGTATGTGTGTGTGTGTGTGTGTGTGTGTGTATGTATATATTTATGTGTGTGTTAGAGAGTGTGTGTGTGTGTGTATGTATATATTTATGTGTGTGTTAGAGAGAGTGTGTGTATGTATATATTTATGTGTGTGTTAGAGAGAGAGTGTGTGTGTGTGTGTGTATGTATATATTTATGTGTGTGTTAGAGCCCGGTGTGTGTGTGTGTGTATATATTTATGTGTGTGTTAGAGAGTGTGTGTGTGTATGTATATATATGTGTGTGTTAGAGCCCAGTGTGTGTGTGTGTGTGTATGTATATATTTATGTGTGTGTTAGAGCCCAGTGTGTGTGTGTGTGTATGTATATATTTATGTGTGTGTTAGAGCCCAGTGTGTATGTGTGTGTGTATATATTTATGTGTGTGTTAGAGCCCAGTGTGTGTGTATGTATATATTTATGTGTGTGTTAGAGACAGTGTGTGTTAGAGAGCGTGTGTGTGTGTGTGTGTGTGTATATATTTATGTGTGTGTTAGAGACAGTGTGTGTTAGAGTGTGTGTGTGTATGTATATATTTATGTGTGTGTTAGAGCCCAGTGTTAGATCTCATCGATCTCTGCTCTTCACATTCGGCTGTTTTGATGTTGTGCTGTTGCAAAGTGGACAAGTCTTTTATTAACGCACTCTCTGTCCATCACCAAGGGCCTGAGAGCCGCAGAGACCTGAGAGGGAGCGGGCCCCTGAGTCAGTCCACAACGGAGGCCCTCCCTGCACTTACCCCCTCCCTCCCCCCTCTCTCCCCCCTGACGGATCGGCTTACAAAATCCATACTCCGCAGAAAGGCCTGGTCCCTCACACAGCGGCGCAGACACTTCGGAGTCTGACCTGAAGCCGGTAAAGAGCTGTGGAAATGTGGAAATGTATTTTTTTTCCTCCGGGATGAAAAGGGCGATTCCTGCTCATAAGTAATGCTTACTTTAGCATTGTGGTCCTAATTTCAGTAGTCGTATTTATACTGCAGGAGTGTAAAAAGGTTTCTAGTGAAATGTAAAAGATAATCAGAGAGAAGATTAAAATAAAGATACTAAAAAAAGCAGATAACATTTGAATTGTATTTACGATGTTCAGAATGGGGAACAGTTTACGTTTTATGACTTTTTGTTTATTTTTTTGTGGTCTCTCCAATATGTCTGCCTCTGGACTCTCCAAGATGTCTGCCCCTGGTCTCTTCAAGATGTCTGTCCCTGGTCTCTCCAAGATGTCTGCCCCTGGTCTCTCCAAGATGTCTGCCCCTGGTCTCTCCAAGATGTCTGCCCCTGGTCTCTCCAAGATGTCTGCCTCTGGTCACTCCAAGATGTCTGCCCCTGGTCACTCCAAGATGTCTGCCCCTGGTCACTCCAAGATGTCTGCCTCTGGTCACTCCAAGATGTCTGCCCCTGGTCACTCCAAGATGTCTGCCCCTGGTCACTCCAAGATGTCTGCCTCTGGTCACTCCAAGATGAGGCCAGAGAGAAAGGAGAGAGAGCAAAGAGAGGCCAGAGAGCGCAACAGACCAGTGTCAGAGACCAGAGACCAGAAAGAGAGACTAGAGAGAGACATGTGAAAACCGACCAAAAATGTCAGAACCAGAGACACTAAAACCCTCACAGAATCTGTCTTTGAGAACGAGCCGTTTTAGTGAACGCTGATGTCTGTGGGGAACTCTCCTTCTACGAGGAGGGTCGGGCCAGCTGTGGGGGCGTTTCCGTTGGACTATAAACACGCCAGTAAAGTTTCAACAACCAATCACCAATCAGTATCAAAATACGCTTTCAAAATAAACCAGCAGCACGGAATCTTGGTTGAACCGCACGTGAAACTCACAGCGAAGGTGTCACCACGTGTGTTCTAAATGTCCGTAAGTGTAACTTGTTTTAAGCAAGACCGGGGAGGGCAGTGCTCGCGGTCAGACCCAGCCTGAGCGCTCATTCCCGGGGGAAGGAAGCTCCGCTTTCCGGGCTCCTCAAAGCCGAGCCAGGGGGGCTAGAGAAACAGGGGTGAGACCCAGGGACTTCCCTGGTCCCGGGGTACCCACGGTGTGAATTTGACGCACGGGGGATAAAAGACCAAAAAGATATGGCCCTTGGAAAACACCGGGGGACCGCGCGCCTGCCATCCGCCCATGAGCGCTCATTTTGGGGGAGGAGAGGACCGCAGCAGCAGGGTCAGCTGCTCCATACCCCAGTGCTTACGGCCATACCACCTTGAGAATGCCCAATCTCGTCTGATCTCGGAAGCTAGGCAAGGTCGGCATAGATATACATTTATTTTAACAGAACTGTCTATCATCAAGAACAGCATTGACATCGTTCTTATTTTGAATATCTTATTTTGAAATACTGAATGAGTTCGGATGTGCTCAGCAGCGAATTAAGAAGGAGGAGGTGTTTCTGTATTTGAAGAGGGTGTTCCTGTTAAACACATGGACGCCCCTTTTAGCTGCTGGCCGGATGATATTGCCTTCTACAGCCCTTGTGGATTTAGGCTGCAGTACCACAGGTGGCCTCTAGTCTACTACGCAACAATAATTAACATACCATCACACATCTATGGCTGAGACACAGAGCAGGTAATCACAACAGGAAGTAGAACTATGGAAGAAACAGGGGTCAGAGAATTACTGAATAAACAGGAAATTAACCTAAACTACGGCGTTATCATTACAACGTTTTTCCGTTTACTGCTCGTACCACACAGTCACAAGGACAAGTACCAGTCAAAAGTACAAGTTACAAGTACCAGTCACGAGTACTGCAATCAATAGTACTAGACAGGATTCACTTGTGCTAACGCTGTAAAGCACATGTTTCCTGATCGGATTAGCTGCTGTGCTTCCTCTACTTTCCACTTTAAAGGCAGGTCATGTGTGTGTTGTGTGTGTGTTGTTGTGTGTGTGTTGTGTGTATGTTGTGTGCAATGAAATGAGAAGCATGTATTTCCTGTGTGGAACGACAAGAGTTCGATAACAACGATTAGCCCCAGACACAACTCAGATCCAGAGAGAAAGTGTGAGAATGTGGAGAGTGAACAAGTCTCTCTAAGGCCTCAACTACATCTGAGACATGTTAGAGCCAAGAACCAACTCAGGGAGCACAGGGACTGGCCTCCTGCTGGGACTCTGAGGAGCACAGGGACTGGCCTCCTGCTGGGACTCTGAGGAGCACAGGGACTGGCCTCCTGCTGGTCCCAGAGTCAGGACGAAACCAGGGACAGTAAATATGAACGGACGTAGTCACGCCTATCTCCGCCGTTGAAACTAATGTGGGCAGTTTCAAAATGGCCGCGGGGGCTGGAAAATGTGAACAAACGCATCTGCGCACGCGTCAGCTGCATCAGAGCCGTTCATTTAACGAGTGCCTTCAAAAGTCCACAGAGACTAAACTAGACTGGTCCAAAACACTCTGTCCTGGGTCTACAGCCTCAGTCCTGGGTCTACAGCCTCAGTCCTGGATCTACAGCCTCAGTCCTGGGTCTACAGCCTCAGTCCTGAGTCTACAGCCTCAGTCCTGGGTCTACAGCCTCAGTCCTGGGTCTACAGCCTCAGTCCTGAGTCTACAGCCTCAGTCCTGGGTCTACAGCCTCAGTCCTGGGTCTACAGCCTCAGTCCTGAGTCTACAGCCTCAGTCCTGGGTCTACAGCCTCAGTCCTGGGTCTACAGCCTCAGTCCTGGATCTACAGCCTCAGTCCTGGGTCTACAGCCTCAGTCCTGGGTCCACAGCCTCAGTCCTGGTCTGGGTCTTACCTGCAGTGTATGAAGTCTGGCACTGGGTTGTGGACGCTGAAGGAGGCGGCGTCCAGGTCTCTGCAGATCTCCACGTTGTCTCCGGCCATGATCCTCACTGCAGCTTTGTTCTCATCATCAAACACGTGCTTTTGGAACGAGGCACACAGCAGCAGCATGTAGTCGTCTGAGGGGGAGAGAGAGGGAGAGGGGGGAGAGAAGGGGAGGGGAGAGGAGAGAGAGGGGAGAGAGAGGGGGAGAGGGGGGAGAGAGAGGAGAGAGAGAGGGGAGAGAGGGGGGGAGAGAGAGGGGAGAGAGAGGGGGGAGAGGGGGGAGAGGGGGGAGAGAGGGGGAGAGAGAGGGGAGAGAGGGGGAAAGAGAGGGGAGAGAGGGGGAGAGGGGGAGAGAGGGGAGAGAGAGGGGAGAGAGGGGGAGAGGGGGAGAGAGGGGAGAGAGAGGGGGGAGAGAGAGGAGAGAGAGGTGAAGAGGGGGGGAGAGAGAGGAGAGAGGGGGAGAGGGGGGAGATAGGGGGAGAAAGGAGAGAGAGAGTGGTGAGAGAGGAGAGAGAGGGGAAAGAGGAGAGAGGGGGGAGAGGGGGAGAGAGGGGATAGGGGAGAGAGGGGAGAGAGGGGGGGAGAGAGGGGAGAGAGGGGGGATGGAGGGGAGAGAGTGGGGAGAGGGGGGAGAGGGGGGAGGGAGAGGGGAGAGAGGAGGGAGATAGGGGATAGGGGAGAGAGGGGGGGGGAGAGGGGAGAGAGAGGGGGGAGAGGGGGGAGAGAGGGGAGAGAGGAGGGAGAGGAGGGAGAGGGGGAAGAGAGGGGAGAGAGAAGGGAGAGAGGAGGGAGAGGGGGAGAGAGGGGAGAGAGGGGAGAGAGGGGGGGGGGGAGGGGGGAGAGAGGAGAGAGAAGGGAGAGGGGGAGAGAGGGGAGAGAGAGGAGAGAGGAGAGAGGGGAGGGAGAGGAGAGAGATGGGAGACAGAGAGGAGAGAGAAGGGAGAGAGACGGGGAGACAAAGGGGTAACAGGGGGGAGAGGGGGAGAGAGACTATGAGCCACAATCCAGTCCGAACAGTTGTGCTCCTGGTAGAGTCTGGTGAGCTGTGTCTGTATGTGTTGGTGCTATATAAATAACATGTGTTGCCGTGGTAACGTACAGATGAGGAAGGAGGGGTTGGGGCTCGTGCGGAAGTCGGGGACGTAGAGCCACTTGACCACTTTGGAGTCGGTGGTGGAGTTGGGAAACCTCCAGGGGTAATCTGAAAACACCACACAGACCATTGATTAAACTAGGGAGAGACCAGAGAGAGACTAGGGAGAGACCAGAGAGAGACCAGAGAGAGACCAGAGAGAGACCACAGAGAGACCAGAGAGAGAGACCAGAGAGAGACCAGAGAGAGACCAGAGAGAGACAAGAGAGAGACCAGAGAGAGACCAGAGAGAGAGACAAGGGAGAGACCAGAGAGAGAGACCAGAGAGAGACCAGAGAGAGACCAGAGAGAGACCAGAGAGAGAGACCAGAGAGAGACCAGAGAGAGACCAGAGAGAGACCACAGAGAGACCAGAGAGAGAGACCAGGGAGAGACCAGAGAGAGACCAGAGAGAGACCAGAGAGAGACCAGAGAGAGACCAGAGAGAGACAGAGAGAGACCAGAGAGAGAGACCAGAGAGAGACCAGAGAGAGACCAGAGAGACCACAGAGAGACCAGAGAGAGAGACCAGAGAGAGACCAGAGAGAGACCAGAGAGAGACCACAGAGAGACCAGAGAGAGAGACCAGGGAGAGACCAGAGAGAGACCAGAGAGAGACCAGAGAGAGACCAGAGAGAGACCAGAGAGAGACCAGAGAGAGACCAGAGAGAGAGACAAGGGAGAGACCAGAGAGAGAGACCAGAGAGAGACCAGAGAGAGACCAGAGAGAGACCAGAGAGAGAGACCAGAGAGAGACCAGAGAGAGACCAGAGAGAGACCAGAGAGAGACCAGAGAGAGAGACAAGGGAGAGACCAGAGAGAGAGACCAGAGAGAGACCAGAGAGAGACCAGAGAGAGACCACAGAGAGACCAGAGAGAGAGACCAGGGAGAGAGACCAGAGAGAGACCAGAGAGAGACCAGAGAGAGACAAGGGAGAGACCACCAGAGAGACCAGAGAGAGACCAGATAGAGACTAGGGAGAGACCAGAGAGAGACTAGGGAGAGACCAGAGAGAGAGACCAGGGAGAGACCAGAGAGAGACCAGATAGAGACTAGGGAGAGACCAGAGAGAGACCAGAGAGAGACCAGAGAGAGAGACCAGAGAGAGACCCGAGAGAGACACCAGAGAGAAAGACTAGGGAGACACAAGAGAGATAGAGCCAGAGAGACACCAGCAAGAGACGAATGAGAGACCAGAGAGACCAGAGAGACAGACCAGATAGAGACTAGGGAGAGACCAGAGAGAGACTAGTGAGAGACCAGAGAGAGACCAAAGAGAGACCAGAGAGAGACCAGAGAGAGACCAGTGAGAGACCAGAGAGAGACCAGAGAGAGACCAGTGAGAGACCAGAGAGAGACCAGAGAGAGAGACCAGTGAGAGAGACCAGTGACAAACCAGAGAGAAACCAGAGGGACCACCCAGAGAGAGAAACCAGGGAGTGACTGGAGAGAGAGACCAGCGATATAGACCAAATATAGAGGCCAGAGAGACACCAGCAAGAGACGAATGAGAGACCAGAGAGACAGACCAGGGAGAGACCAGAGATGGAGACCAAAGATAGAGGCAAGAGAGAGAGAGAGCGAGAGAGAGAGACCAGCAGTAACAGCAGAGTGCCCCTCCTCTCCCTCCTCCTCCTCCCCCCCTCCTCCCCCTCACCTTTACAGGCAGCAGGGGGGATGCCGATGCAGACAAAGTACTGGAAGGTGAGCATGCAGGCCAGGAAGCAGCAGTATTTGGGCCAGATCTCTGCGATGGCTTTCCTCCGCCTCCGGAACATGACCGCGATGAGAGCGAAGGAGTGGAGCATGGAGTAGAAGTCCATCCTCTGACCAATCACGTTCACTCCCAGCAGCAGGCAGGTCTGAGGAGAGACCAGGTTTAGACCCGGAACCGGTTTTCAACTATTATGATTCACTGCAGCATTGATGGAATCGGTTCATGTGTCTTCTCTGACAGCCTCAGTCCTGGGTCTACAGCCTCAGTCCTGGATCCACAGCCTCAGTCCTGGGTCTACAGTCTCAGTCCTGGGTCTACAGCCTCAGTCCTGGGTCTACAGCCTCAGTCCTGGGTCTACAGCCTCAGTCCTGGATCTACAGCCTCAGTCCTGGGTCCACAGCCTCAGTCCTGGGTCTATGTGTTTGTTATCGTTGTATTTCTTGTGTTCAAACTGATTTTCTGATCTGTTGTTGGCGAATCGACATCACCTCGAGCCCAAACTTGTAGAAGAAGTAGTTGACGAAGTATTTGACGAAGTGGACGATGCCGATGTCCAGATGCTGCCGCGTGACGTCGTGGAAGATGATGCGAGCGGCCGGAGGACTCAGCTTGTTCCGGAGCCTGAAGTACAACTGGTGTCGGTATATGGTCACCTCAAACACCAGCACCGCCAGCATCAGCAGGTTGTTCTGAAGGGACCAGAAGGAGACCGGAGGGAGAGCCGTGAGAGGGGACCAGAGGGAGACCAGTGAGAGGGGACCAGAGGGAGAGCAGAGAGAGAGCAGAGGGAGAGCAGAGGGAGAGCAGAGGGAGAGCAGAGAGAGAGCAGAGGGAGAGCAGAGAGAGAGCAGAGGGAGAGCAGTGAGAGAGCAGAGGGAGAGCCGTGAGAGAGCAGAGGGAGAGCCGTGAGAGAGCAGAGGGAGAGCAGAGGGAGAGCAGAGAGAGAGCAGAGGGAGAGCAGTGAGAGAGCAGAGGGAGAGCCGTGAGAGAGCAGAGGGAGAGCAGAGGGAGAGCAGAGAGAGAGCAGAGGGAGAGCAGAGAGAGGGGACCAGAGGGAGAGCAGAGAGAAGGGACCAGCAGGAGACCAGTCAGAGGGGACCAGAGGGAGACCAGTGAGAGGGGACAGGAGGGAGACCAGTGAGAGGGGACCGGAGGGAGAGCAGAGAGAGGAGACCAGAGGGAGAGCAGAGAGAGGAGACCAGAGGGAGAGCAGAGAGAGGAGACCAGAGGGAGAGCAGAGAGAGGAGACCAGAGGGAGAGCAGAGAGAGGAGACCAGAGGGAGAGCAGAGAGAGGAGACCAGAGGGAGAGCAGAGAGAAGGGACCAGAGGGAGACCAGAGAGGGAGACCAGAGGGAGAGCAGAGAGAAAGATCTGTGAAGACTAGAGAGAGACCAGGGAGAGAAATGAGATGGACCAGAAAGAAAGACCAGAGAGAAAGACCAGAGAGAAAGACCAGAGAGAAAGACCAGAGCTAGACCAGACAGAGAGACGAGAGAGACCAGTGAGAGACCAGATTTTTGTCACATGGTTTTACCCGCAGATACGAGAGCACGTCATCGGCCTTGTCCAGACCGACCCAGTTTGCTGGATCCACCAGAGACCGGTACAAGACTGAGTCCTTTAGCTCCTCTTGTTGCTCCGGGGTGTAACCATCAGGCTGTGGAGCAAAGGAACATGGTGAGACCTGGTTCAGTTCTGGTTCAGACCTGGTTTAATCCTGGTTTAATCTGGGTTGAGTCCTGGTTCAGTCCTCCTTAAGACTTGCCTCAATTCTATGGTGCAAACTGACAAACATACTTTCTGGACTAAAACCTTGTAGTCCACATACAGGGCGCAGGTTTTCATGTTTAACGAAGCAGAGAGACGACTGTTTGAACTGAGACAACATGATTTAATAACGGGATGTTTCACAGCTTCACTGAGAGCTCCCATCACTCATTCACCTGTTTACACAATAAACCAGTGTCATCCATCCATCCATCCATTTTCTTCCACTTCATCCGTTGCCGGGTCGCGGGGGCAGCAGTCTAAGCAGAGACGCCCAGACTTCCCTATCCACACACACTTCCTCCAGCTCGTCTGGGGGGCCCCAAAGGCGTTCCCAGGCCAGCTGAGAGACATAGTCCCTCCAGCGTGTCCCGGACCGCCGTGGTAATCCACAAACTGTATTGGACTACGACGGTCCAATACAGCGACCGCATCACTGCGCACGCTGCACCACTCCGCCTGTCAATCTCACGCTCCGTCCTTCCCTCACTCATGAACAAGACCCAGAGATTCTTGAACTCCTCCACTTGAGGAAGGACCTCCCCACCCACCTGGTTTGCAGCCGCTTCACACTCGGCTGCAAACCGTCCCAGTGCATGCTGCAGGTCCTGGTTCGTTGGAGCCAACAGGACAACATCGTCCACAAACAGCAGAGATGAAATCCTGTGGTCTCCGAACCAGAGGCCTGTGGCTACTAAAACTTGATGGAGTTAAAATAATAAGTCCATAAACTGCTCTGACAACAGCCCAGTGCATGATTGGGGCTCCACTCTCTGCCCTCGAGAACATCCAGAGCAGCGCACTCTGCGATAGCAGCTTGTACAGTCTCACATATGTGTAAATATATTTATCTATGATTATAGATTATCCTATACTTGCACTACTGCACCACTGCTTAGAGGCTAAACTGCATTTGTTACATTATTCTGAATTTGTAAAGACAATAAAGTTGAATTTAATCTTCCATCCATCCATTCTCTTCCCCTTCCCTCAGCCCCTCACTGATCCTGCTGCAGGAGGTGAGCCCACAGGAGGACGGCTGTTCTGTTGGAGAGAGCACAGCCTCGATCTTTCAGCGGCGGCTTCAGAGTCTAATATAAATGCTGTGTAAGACACAGGGATATGAGAACGTGACAAAAGTTGAAAATTATAGTCTGGAAGTTCCCATACTACCCCTTAATCCATTTCTGGGTCGGGGGTGGCAGGCTCATCTGTCAGTGAAGCACAGTCTTGACCTTTCAGCGGGGCTTCAGGCAAAGTGGGGTTGAGTGTCTTGCCCAAGGACATGACGACCTCAGTGGGGTCGGTGGAGAAGGTCTTGTTACCCACGACCTTCAGGCTCAGAGGCCAATGCTCTGCAACTGAGCCACTGTCGCCCCGAAATTACCATACACTGAATGAAATGAACCAGGGCTGAAGCAAGTCTAAACCAGGAAACCCACATGGACAGGGGGAGAACATGCAAACTCAGAAAGACCTTGTTTCAACCAGGATTTGAACACCTTCTAACTGAGAAGTGAGAGTGCTAACCACTCAGCCACTGTGTTGTCATGTTCATGTTCTCAATGGAACCATCATTCCCTGCCTATAGTTCTATAGTTGTAGCACAGGGAGAGCACATGGTCCGTACCATGGAGCAGTTGCTGGAGTACTGCGGGGGGGAGATGGACTTGAGCTGGTACAACATCTTGCAGACGATGATGACGCAGGTCCAGACGGTGCAGACGCTGGACGCTAGGGGGCGATACTGACTGTACGGCAGAGCGAAGGCCCAGGACGCCAGGAACACATAGTTCAACAAGGACACCTGAAGAAGAGGAGAACATGCATCATCCATCTATCAGGGAAACAGACCAGAGAGACCTGAGGGAGACCAGGGAGGGACCAGTTACAGACCAGAGAGAAACCAGAGAGAGACCAGACAGAGCTCAGAGAGAGACCAGAGAAAGACCAGAGAGAGACCAGCGAGAAGGGACCAGAGAGAGGCCAGAGAGAGACTAGTGAGAGACCTGAGAGAGACCAGAGAGACCAGAGAGGGACCAGAGAGGGACCAGAGAGGGACCAGAGAAAGAGACCAGAGAGAGACCAGAGAGAGACCAGAGAGGGACCAGAGAGAAAGACCAGAGAGAGACCAGAGAGAGACCAGAGAGAGACCAGAGAGAGAGACCAGAGAGAGAGACCAGAGAGAGACCAGAGAGAGACCAGAGAGGGACCAGAGAGGGACCAGAGAAAGAGACCAGAGAGAGACCAGAGAGAGACCAGAAGAGGGACCAGAGAGGGACCAGTTACAGACCAGAGAGAAATCAGAGAGAGACCAGAGAGAGACCAGAGAGAAACCAGGGAGAGACCAGAGAGAGAGACCAGAGAGAGACCAGAGAGAGAGAGACCAGAGAGAGACCAGAGAGAGACCAGAGAGGGACCAGAGAGAGACCAGAGAGAGACCAGAGAGAGAGAGACCAGAGAGAGACCAGAGAGAGACCAGAGAGGGACCAGTTACAGACCAGAGAGAAACCAGAGAGAGACCAGAGAGAGACCAGAGAAAGACCAGAGAGAGACCAGGGAGAGACCAGAGAGAGACCAGAGAGAGACCAGAGAGGGACCAGAGAGAGACCAGAGAGAGACCAGAGAGAGACCAGAGAAAGACCAGAGAGAGACCAGAGAGAGACCAGAGAAACACCAGAGAGAGACCAGAGAGAGACCAGAGAGAGACCAGAGAAAGACCAGAGAGAGACCAGAGAGAGACCAGAGAGAGACCAGAGAGAGACCAGAGAGAGACCAGAGAGAGACCAGAGAGAGACCAGAGAAACACCAGAGAGAGGACACCAGAAGAAGAGGAGAACATGCATCATCCGTCAGTGTGAGCATGTTTTATTGTCAGGACTTTGTCAGGGTTTATGTGACGGTCTCAGAGCTGTGTGTGAAACGTCTCCTCAGCCTCAGCTCTGGTGTGAGGTCTGGGTTATCGTCACAGTGGATTTGGATACAGGAGGAAGTGGAACGGCACCTCTTTGACGGAGACCAGGACGATGTAACAGGCCACGATCTTAATAATGTGGATCTCCAGGAGCCACCAGGCGAACAGCTGCAGTTTGTGGAAATACTCCAAGAACCGAAGAAACAGGACGCTCAGACGGTCCACCACCAAGTGCCACTTACTCCTCAGGTCTGACGGAGACACACACAGAGAGACACACACACACAGACACACACAGACAGACAGACACACAGAGACAGAGAGACACACACACACACAGACAGACACACACAGACAGACACACACACACACACAGAGACACACACACACACAGACAGACACACACAGACAGACAGACAGACACACACAGACAGACACACAGAGACAGACACACACACAGAGACAGACACACAGACAGACAGACACACACACACAGACAGACACACACACACAGAGAGACACACACACACACACACACACACACACACAGAGACAGACAGACACACACCACAAATAATGGGGATTAGTTTTAACATAGTGACACATATAAAGTACATAAGCCCTTTTTCCAGCAGCTCAGCTCTACTCTACTCTACTCTACTCTACTCTACTCTACTCTACTCTACTCTGCTCTACTCTACTCTACTCTACTCTACTCCACCGACTCTGTTTAACAGGTACTTTGTTAGTCCCTCTTGGTCCTGGTTCTACTACAAATCCAAGTCCAAGTCTCAAAGATGTTATTATGATTATGGCTCAAGGCATCTGAAGAGGACCAGTGCCAGGTCGACTCCCAGGACCCCACCTCTGGACAAACAACATTAGGATTAATGAGAGATAGAATGTTCTTTTGTTTCTTTCTCTTGACCCTGTGCAAAGTTCAACACCTCCTCATGTGTTGTTATAGTCGTGTATATTGTGGTCTCTGCTCCACACACGTTGTTGTTACGGTCTTGGATGCCGAGGTGATCCCTCTCTGCTCCACACTTCTGGCAGAGATGCAGACATAGTTTACACAATGAGAAGCAGAGCAGCAGGAGCTCCAGGTGTCTGTGGAGCTCAGACTGATCTGTCGCTGCTGCAGGAGATTCTTCACTGATTCAAACCAGAACACACTCAGAGTTTAGTCTCCGCAGATGAAAAGGTCAGCGCTCCGTTCTGTCTCGTCTCAGGTGAAGCAATAATGAGACAATAGTGGACCGCGGCTGCCACTTCAGGGCCTGGGTTCACCGAAAGACAGGTGTCTGTGATGACAGGTTGGAGAGAGACCAGACTGAGTGATGGAAGGACAGGCAACTATTCTTCAGCAATACTAATGTCATGTGACCAGATACCAGAGAGAGAGAGGGGCTATAGAGCAGGGGTGCCCAAAGTGGGGCCCGCGGGCCAAAGTTGGCCCGCCTAACATTGCCCACCTCCTCTGTAAGTTTATAACTGCGTCCCTCAGTCTCGCTGAACGAACAGTGACATGTCTGAGATCGCACAGGCGCACCAACGCCCTCTGAACCACGACTGTCCAGTACTTTACTGTTGTATCGAGATACACTCCTCACTCATGGTTCACATCTACTCATGGTTCACATCTACTTGCACTAAAATGCTTTTTAAAATCAAACACATCTTTCAAAACAATTGGGTGCAAGGCACCTTTATGTTCTTATTTTTCAGCCTACTATTATAATTTTTTTGAGCAATTTAATATTTTATCAAATTGAGAGGATTGTGCTGGCGAACTGCCACTCCCCCTCCTCACCGGAGGGAAATGGCGAGTGGAACTATTCACCTGCGCAATCCGCACCCACCCGGTGTGTTCAAAAGGACGGACACAAACACTTCAGAGTGAGTTCAAGCAGGACAAGCAGGGATCGCAGCGCACGATCCACGCAAGTAGAAGCAACAAATACTGTGCAAAACAAACCCTTCTACAACCCCATGAAAGAAGCCGGTAAGCGCCGTCCTCACTCGCGATCATTGAATGTCAGAACTTACGCTGAGTTTTATGATGCGTTCAAGAGCCCTTTGGAGGAGCGGAAACACGGACTCTTTAACAGTTACTTTGTTTTGATTGTTTATAAATGTTGTACTGTGTTTAGGCAAAACCAAACAAACTCAAGGAACATATCATGGTTAACTAGTCTGATTTCGTTAGTTTAATATTCAGTTCACAACTAATTGAGAATACTTGCCCTATGTTAAAAATATTAAGTTAAAACAGAGTTAAAACCTGATCATGTTTAGAAAATGCAGTTAGCAATTATGTTCCCAAATTCATTACTTAATGTTTAAATGTATTGTTTAAAAGTGTGCTAAAACCAGATCTACTGATCAGTGATGTCTCCTCTTTTTGATAAAAGCTAAGATAAAGTAATATGATTCAAATGTAGTTAAAAACTTTTGTTCAAAATAAATATATGAAAATAGACTTTACTTTTGTAAAGTAAATGTCATTAGTACAATAAACCTATACATTATAAATCACTGTACTATAGTAATGCAAAACTGTTTAGAAAAAGGTCTTCAACAAACAGTTTACTGACATGAGCAGGTTAAAAATATAGATTATTTAATTTGGGAGTATGATATTATTTAATATAAATTAGTACTTTCATTTACTAACAGGAACATTATTTGTAAGTGGCGTTTAAAAAACAGTTTAGTTACATAGAAAATGTATGTTTCTGTTCTCTTTTAGAGGTTTTTTTATATGATTTTAAGCTGTAAATAAGCCATGACAGAAAATCTCCCTCCTCTGGACCCTGATTACCCGCTGGAATCTTTCCGTACTGTAGTCTCCTCAAACCTGCATATTTCCCTGGAGTCTCCACTTCACTAAGACTGTGTTGATTTCATTCATTCAGTTGTGATTTGCACTGATAGACAATAATCAATGCATTTAATAGAACTTGATCAAATCTACATTTTATTTGTGTTTCATGCAAAATATCAGTGTATTTGGCCCCCGGCCGACTGGCAAATTTTTACTTTGGCCCTTGGAAGCAAAAGGTTTGGGCACCCCTGCTATAGAGAGAGACCAGAGAGAGAGAGAGGCTATAGAGAGAGACCAGAGAGAGAGAGAGGCTATAGAGAGAGACCAGAGAGAGACCAGAGAGAGACCAGAGAGAGAGAGGCTATAGAGAGAGACCAGAGAGAGACCAGAGAGAGACCAGAGAGAGAGAGAGGCTATAGAGAGAGACCAGAGAGAGACCATAGAGAGACCAGAGAGAGAGAGAGAGGCTATAGAGAGAGACCATAGAGAGACCAGAGAGAGACCAGAGAGAGGCTATAGAGAGAGACCAGAGAGAGACCAGAGAGAGACCAGAGAGAGCGAGAGGCTATAGAGAGAGACCAGAGAGAGACCATAGAGAGACCAGAGAGAGAGAGAGGCTATAGAGAGAGACCAGAGAGAGACCAGAGAGACAGAGGCTATAGAGAGAGACCAGAGAGAGACCAGAGAGAGACCAGAGAGAGAGAGGCTATAGAGAGAGACCAGAGAGAGACCAGAGAGAGACCATAGAGAGACCAGAGAGAGACCAGAGAGAGAGAGAGAGGCTATAGAGAGAGACCATAGAGAGACCAGAGAGAGACCATAGAGAGACCAGAGAGAGACCAGAGAGAGACCAGAGAGAGACCAGAGAGAGACCAGAGAGAGACCAGAGAGAGACCAGAGGGAGACCAGAGGGAGACCAGAGAGAGACCAGAGAGAGAGAGGCTATAGAGAGAGACCAGAGAGAGACCAGAGAGAGACCAGAGAGAGAGAGGCTATAGAGAGAGACCAGAGAGAGACCAGAGAGAGACCAGAGAGAGAGAGAGGCTATAGAGAGAGACCAGAGAGAGACCATAGAGAGACCAGAGAGAGAGAGAGAGGCTATAGAGAGAGACCATAGAGAGACCAGAGAGAGACCAGAGAGAGAGAGGCTATAGAGAGAGACCAGAGAGAGACCAGAGAGAGACCAGAGAGAGCGAGAGGCTATAGAGAGAGACCAGAGAGAGACCATAGAGAGACCAGAGAGAGAGAGAGAGGCTATAGAGAGAGACCATAGAGAGACCAGAGAGAGACCAGAGAGAGAGAGGCTATAGAGAGAGACCAGAGAGAGACCAGAGAGAGACCAGAGAGAGCGAGAGGCTATAGAGAGAGACCAGAGAGAGACCATAGAGAGACCAGAGAGAGAGAGAGAGGCTATAGAGAGAGACCATAGAGAGACCAGAGAGAGACCAGAGAGAGAGAGAGGCTATAGAGAGAGACCAGAGAGAGACCAGAGAGACAGAGGCTATAGAGAGAGACCAGAGAGAGACCAGAGAGAGACCAGAGAGAGAGAGAGGCTATAGAGAGAGACCAGAGAGAGACCATAGAGAGACCAGAGAGAGACCAGAGAGAGAGAGAGAGGCTATAGAGAGAGACCATAGAGAGACCAGAGAGAGACCAGAGAGAGACCAGAGAGATACCAGAGAGAGACCAGAGAGAGACCAGAGAGAGACCAGAGGGAGACCAGAGAGAGACCAGAGAGAGACCAGAGAGAGACCAGAGAGAGAGAGGCTATAGAGAGAGACCAGAGAGAGACCAGAGAGAGACCAGAGAGAGAGAGAGGCTATAGAGAGAGACCAGAAAGAGACCATAGAGAGACCAGAGAGAGAGAGAGAGGCTATAGAGAGAGACCATAGAGAGACCAGAGAGAGACCAGAGAGAGAGAGAGGCTATAGAGAGAGACCAGAGAGAGACCAGAGAGACAGAGGCTATAGAGAGAGACCAGAGAGAGACCATAGAGAGACCAGAGCGAGACCAGAGAGAGAGAGAGAGAGGCTATAGAGAGAGACCATAGAGAGACCAGAGAGAGACCAGAGAGAGACCAGAGAGATACCAGAGAGAGACCAGAGAGAGACCAGAGAGAGACCAGAGAGAGACCAGAGAGAGACCAGAGAGAGACCAAAGAGAGACCAGAGAGAGACCGGAGAGAGACCAGAAAGAGACCGGAGAGAGACCAGAGAGAGGCCGGAGAGAGACCCGAGAGAGACCCGAGAGAGACCAGAGAGAGACTGTAGAGAGAGACTAGAGAGAGAGAGAGACTAGAGAGAGAGAGAGACTAGAGAGAGACCAGAGAGAGACCGGAGACAGACTAGAGAGAGACCAGAGAGAGACCAAAGAGAGACCAGAGAGAGACCGGAGAGAGACCAGAAAGAGACCAGAGAGAAACCG